TAATCTCAGTTATAACTCAAATATTATTTCAACCGTGATAACTGTAATCAAGCAAAAATGTATTACGTTCGGGCATCCTATATATAACGTGACCTATGCTGGTTTCTCCAGAAGCCAAGAGCTGAATACTTTCTATGTTTTAGAGAGAAATAATACTGGCACTTGACTAATGTAATACTTCAATATGGAAAAGCTATGAGCATTTTATTACTTCTGAATATATTGCATTTAACCTTTTTAGGGTTTTCATATGTTATCAAATAAAATAAATAAACATTTTTTTCGATATCAGTTCAACTTTTTCTCGCGTATATTTTATTTTGAAAATAGAGTTATTTTTTAAAAATAGATGAAACACTGTGATATAAAATAAAATAACGTAAAAAGAAACTCACGTCTTTAAATAAAAAATTAATTATTTAGACTAAATACATAATATAATTATATGTTGTTGTATATATAATTTGCAATGACTTTGTGCGTAATGATACTAACGATTAGTATATATAAAATTATTTTTATAAAAAACTTTTTTTTTGTTGATAGTATATATGTATACAGGGTGGGGCATTTATATTGAGACACCTAAATATCTAAAAAATAAAGCAAGATAAAAAGAAATGTTTCAGACAAAAGTTGTTCGATGCTAAGGGGGTCATAAGATGGTGCCATTAGTTTGACCTTGGGTGGAGGCGCTTCGGAGATTTCAATGTCAATCTTGTTTTTTTAAATGGAAACACCCCAATTTTTTTACATATATCGATTCCTTGCAATATTCTGCATAAAAAGTTATAGGGGTATGATGGCCAAAAGTTTAATAGTTTACGAGATATTTTATACTTTACGCGACAAGCATTTATAATATGTTTTTTCATATTTTCTGCTGTAGTGCGACTCAATGAATGTATTGCCAATAATTTTTTACCAAACGTACACAATAATAACATTATAGTGTACGTTTGGTAAGGAATTATTGGCAATACATTCATTGAATCGTACTACACCAGAAAATATGAAAAAACATATTATAAATGCTTGTCGCGTAAAGTATAAAATATCTCGTAAACTATTAAACTTATGGCCATCATACCCCTATAACTTTTTACGCAGAATATTACAAGGAATCGATTTATGTAAAAAAATTTGAGTGTTTCCATTTAAAAAAACAAGATTGACATTGAAATCTCCGAAGCGCCTCCACCCAAGGTCAAACTAATGGCACCATCTTATGACCCCCTTAGAACCAAACAACTTTTGTATGAAACATTTTTTTCTATCTTGCTTTATTTTTTAGATATTTAGGTGTCTCAATATAAATGCCCCACCCTGTATATATATATACACACACATATGACATTTTATCGAGGCATTTATCCGTGAAAATTAATTTGTCTTAATTTTCCGATATATATAAATGATAATATCTAGAAAATGATTTAAAAATATATAATCTAATGATTCTTACCATTTAAATGTTTTATTAAATCCATGTGTTATTTTTTTAATTGTATTATCGGCCAGCGACTTCGTTATTCCAGGCGATTTATTCGCACTATAATGCGAGTCGCATTAGATATTTCAAGTATAATATAGTTGACCTGAAAATGTCCTTAATCATCTGCTTCCTCGCAGACGCTCGGGAACCTGAAGAACGACCCGTAACGCGCAGGTCCTCTTTCCGCGCTGTAAAGCCGGTGATGCCTTACGAAGTCGCCGGCAACGACGAGAAGATGATTAAGCTAGACTCGTCATCCGCACCTGCAGTGGCACCGCCTGCAGTGTCCCAGCCCGTTCTTGTACCCGACGAGGAGAGACGTAATCGGCGAAGGGGCTCCCAATTGTGAGTTATCAATGATACTATTATCTCATAAAGATTTATCATGCCAATCCGCAGATTCGTTACTTATAATAATGAAAGCAAAATGAAATCTATATTCTTATTCAAGGGATTCAAATATACTAAGATGGAAATGACATCAAGCCATATTACAGAGTTTTTTCGCAATTTGTGACTTGACATCCGTTAAATTAGATAATCTTCCTCGCAAAATCGCTTCTCGCTTTGCTTAAATTTTTATAATCACTGAACAGTTACGATATATTTGAATCTCTTTCGTGCAAAATTATTTCATTTAGTAAGCTTTATATAAACTTGTATACTATATATATGTATATATATATACAATGTTACATATATTTATCATATGTAGTTTAGTGTGATTAAACAAAATGTAATTAAATATATAATTAATTTTGAGCTTCAATGTTAATTGTCGTATACTCATATACATAAACATGACATATTTATTATTTTAATTAATCGAGAATTAATGATGATTGTATATAGAGTTCGAAATCATTTTCAGCAAATGTTAATTTGTATTTATTATTTTTTGGCTATTCCTTGCAAGAAAAATATACGCAATTTGCGTGCTTTAATTTCAAACTCCCGCATATTTGCTTGTTTTCGTATGACACTGACGTTTTGATGCCGAGACAGACATTTCGTCCACGCTTTCAGAGAGTAATTTAAACTTTTGAGTTTGCTGCGTCATCGAAAGATGTGAAAGTGAAGTTATATTTGTGATAGGAGGCAGAAAGTACTTCCTATAAAAATAATAAGTAATTATTTGATCAATATCAAACTCTAAACACTTGCATACAATTTTTTGTTAAGAACAAATCAATGCAACAATTTCTTCAAACCGCATAGATTTTTTATTGTATAAATTTTATATTTCTCCATATAAATTAATTTTTCCAAAAATATAATTAAGTACTACAAACATATATTTAGATTATCGAAAGTACATATAAGAAAGTATTCCTACAGTTTTATCTTTCAAAAGTTTTTTATCATTTCCCTTTACAATTATATTTATTCAAACTTAAATTCAAAATTATATTGTTAAATAATTTGGTTAATTTTAATAATTTTAGTAAGATTGGTTATTTGTGGTTATAAAAAATGCGTGCACAAACCGAGAAAATTGACTTTTCAACGAATTAATTCGGGTATCTAGAAATATAAAGCGGCATATTTCAGAATAAACTTATCGTTAAAATATTTCTTAAACAATGTACATCCGCGAAGTTTTTACAATCCGCAAAAATATATCACTCGGTTATATTGATCTTATTATGAAAGAAAAAACTTAAAGTATTCAATGCATACAAACTATCTCTTGAAAAGATCGCAGAATCTCTTTACTGCAACTCTCAAAATGTTGATTTTCCATTCCGACACTTCTTGACATGAAATGGAATTCTTGATTTATATCGAGCGCTCATGAAATATGTTCAGATTTTAAAACAAGATAATGCTTATTGTGCAGTCTATTTTTGAAGAAAGGGAACAATACTATCGCGTTTACATCTCATTAAAGTTTTTTTATGCTGATAGTTTAAATTAAGTAAATATATCTCTATAGTTTCTTGTAATCTTACTAATGATACATAGAGTGAAAGGATCACGCACGATTCATATATAAAAAAAAAAAAAACGTTTTCGGTCAATTTGGTTGAATTTGTGATATGTTATAGTTCTTGTGTCCCTGATCAAAAATGTCAAGTTACAGAAACCTTTTATGTCTAATTTTTGAATTATACGGGTATACAAGAAATATCGGAACTCTTTAATATTTCGAAAATATGCATTTTAGAAAAAAATATTCCATATAAAAGTTGTAGGGTTTTATGTGACGCATTACATAGCAATATTATTATGATCTTGAATAGCGTTGTCAAAGTCATGTAAAAATCACTTTGAAATTTTTAAATGCAAATCCCGATTTTTGATTGCATATTCTTATAGCTTACCTAAAGATCTTTTTAAAATACTGTAATAAAGTTTCTTTCTATTAAGTATTTTCCAAGTTGTCACGCTTGAAAGGTACAGTATTACCAGCATTAGTATTACTCGAAAGTGCTTTTTACGTAATCTTAACAATGCTATTTAAAGTCATACTAACATTGCTACTTGATGCGCCACTTAAAACCCTACAACTTTTATTTGAAACATTTTTTCAAATCTCGAAAGTATAGCAGTTTTTAGAAAAATGTTTAATTGTGTAAAAACTTAATGGAAAGGAACTTTGTTATAGTGTTTTGAAAAGCTCTTAAGATAAGCTACAAGAATATGCAATCAAAAACTGGAGTTTTCGTTAAAAAAATGTCAAGGTGATCTTTATGTGATCTAGACAACGCTATTCAAAGTTATAATAATATCGCTATGTAATGCGTCACATAAAACCCTACAACCTTTTTTATATGGAACATTTGATTCTAAAATGCGTTTTGAAATATTAAGGGATTCCGATACTTCTTATTATATATATTTGTATATTTTAATTTAGAAACTGGATATAGAAAGTTTCTGTAATTTGACATTTTTGATCAAGGACACAAGAACTATAACATATCACAAATTCAAGCAAATTGACCGAAAACGTTTTTTTTCATATGAATCGTACACGGTCCTTTACTTACTAGTTAAACTTAGCGTTAACGACAAGTTTCAAGTATCTTTTTTAAGTATGAGTATACATTTGCAGTGATGAAAGATTATATTTGTGTAAATATAATAGAACTGAATATCTTTTCTTAACCATCAGTGTGGCGAAAATGAAAATCGATTTACTGCCTTTTTTTCCCGCTTCCTCGATTTACTCCCATGTGGTTGCGTTCCTTTTATTTTTCCCGACGGAACAGTGTGCAACGTGTGTTGTATAAGCGCATATACACGTATTGCAAGCGAGAAGTCGAGGGGATCGCAAACAGGGAAGTTTGCTACTAGAGAAATAATTAATGCCACCCACCTATCCAGCTCCTCTTCTCTCTCTCCCCTAGTCTTCGTTAAGTGCGCGCATTTACTCGTGTACGAGCATCTGCGGTTCTCGCCAAAGTCGAGTTCTAAACTGTTACAATTTCAGCGAGCTTAATCCTCCACGCTGTAACGATTACTTGAAAATATGCAGTACGACGGGTTTGCGATATTAACTGGTCGGAAAGCTTGCGCCTGCGTAAAATGCGATACTCGACATATATATGATACAATAAAATTACATGAATTTAAAACATACTCAAATGACAATATTGCGCCACCAAAATCTGTGTGTTAAATGAAAAGTAAATTAAAATTTCTCTCAAACAATAATATATTTTTTTCTTTTTCTATTTGCATTATTTACACCCTTTGCTTTAAGATAAACACTTTAAAAAGTAATCTCACTTTTAATTTCAAAAAGATTTAATATTGATCCTCCAATGCTTTAATTAATTTAGCATCTAAAATCGAACACACACACATGGTCGTTATAATCATATATTAGAAAATAATTTCTTGTACTGGCTATCAAGACCTAGGCTCTGAGCAGATTCAATGATTGCGGTAAAAGCTTTATTCTTCTATCGTTTTCTATGAGAAGAAGGATCAAAGGTCTAACATTGAGGGCAAGAAAGTGTCATCCCTCGGACGCTTATTATAGGAAGGGTCTGGAGATGTTTAACGAAAGGGTCGCGCATTACGTGATGTATCGCCTTTGTCAAAATTGGCTTAATCTACGCGACACTTCGTCTTTTTATCAGCCGAGTGAAAAAGCCCGAGGAGAATTACGTGCTAAGATTATCAACCAGCGTTATAAAGCATCTGAATTGCTCATAATCGCTATTATCTCGTACGGTCGGGTACTGTTAAAAATTAAAACTCTCGTACACGTCAATTCTTCATATTAGAGTTACTTTTGATATATACAGAATGTTTCCTAATAAGTGGGAAGTATTGCAGTGGTGGATTCAGTATATAAAAGTAAGAAAAGAAGTTCATATAAACGTATGTCCGATATGACCTCGTTTTCGAGTTACAGCCTGTTTTATTTTTTAACAGAGCTAAGATAGCATACTTAATTATTGGTTTGCTGTTTATTTGCAAGATTTGAAGGATTTGAGGTCTTGTTAATCTATAAACATAAACACGTGTTATTTGTATTGTAAGTGGTACGGTTCACATCTTGTGCTCAGTGAAAGTAAAGTATTTGTATCGTTAACGCTATTAACGCAATAGCGTACGTTTAAAGTAAAAATTATGGCTTGGTCAACAATGTCATACAATAAAATGGCAGACATGCATCTCATATATGGATTTTCCGATGATAATGTTATCTTAGTATGCTATCTTAACTTTGTTAAAAAATAAAACAGGCTGTAACTCGGAAAAAAATCATATCGGACATATGTTTATATGAACTTTTTTTCTTATTTTTGTATTCTGAATCGACTACTATAATACTTCCCACTTATTAGGAAACCCCCCGTAATTTTAAACAAAGATAAGGGGGACGGGGGGAATAAAAATTACATAATACTGGATAAAATAAAAATTACAATAAATAATAAATATTTTTCTCTATTTTTGCAAAAATAATAGAAGTTTGAATTAACAATAGATTCATTGACAATTTTAATATTTAAAAAATATATATACCTAATTTAAAAGAAAGGGATTAATCGATAATAAATGATGACTTTTTAATCATTGTAATTCAGTCGTAAAGCACAATCACGCATATAAAGAATATTAGAAATAATTTTATACAATGACATCATTATTTTAAAAGAAACCGTGCCCTTGTGCATACGATATTTCTTTTTTAATAGAAGTTCAAAGCTTTTAGCCCAAAAAAGATCGATATCGAGCCAAGAATCGAGTCGTCGTGCACTTTTTCTATATAGAGCATCTGTTTCGGTAAATACAGTATTGCATTCTGTATATATTAGAAAGAATATCATATTAGTTTTGATCGACACTTTGTACGCGGGAATATACAACCGTCGTATTTGTTA